AATTAATTTTTTTTTCTTTTCTCTCTCTTTCTCTCTTTTTATTTTACAGGTAAAAAAAATAATTTTTTGCGTTTTTCTAGAAGAAGATGAAAGGATTTACGAAACATTACTCCAGCTTTACTTTCCAATTGATTAATTTATTATTATTATTACTGCATTAATTGAACTCGTTAAATATTAATATTTTTTTCAGTTGTAATTTTAATTTGTAATTTAGGTTATGTTAATTGTGTCATCGAGATAATTATCGATAATAATAATAATAATAATCGTTTTCATTAATTTTTTTCTTTCATTTTTTTTTAATTAACCGTTTTTATTTTCAAATAAGTGATTTTAGTGTGAAATTTAGGTTAAGGAGTAAACCGTGACACGGATATAGAGCTTTCCGTGGAACGGAATAAAACTGAAAAAGTGAAACGCATTAAAAATTTTATTTAAAAAACGAAGAACAAATAAATACATCACACAATCGGAGTCAACGACAGCCAACCGACACAGACTTCAAATAATAAAAACAATTAGAAGAGTTCAATTCGGCAAGAAGAAGCAGAAGAAGACGAAGAAAACGAAGAAGAAGAAGATGAAGACGAAGAAGAAGAAGAAGAGGAGATGACGAAGGAGAAGAAGAAGATGAAGACGAAGAAGAAGAAGAAAACGAAGAAGATGAAGATGAAGACGAAGAAGACGAAGAAGAAGAAGAAGAAGAAGAAGATGAAGACGAAGAAAACGAAGAAGACGAAGAAAACGAAGAAGACGAAGACGAAGGAGAAGAAGATGAAGACGACGACGAAGACGAAGAAAACGAAGACGACGACGAAGAAGAAGAAGATGAAGACGAAGACGAAGAAGAAGAAGATGAAGACGAAGAAAACGAAGAAGATGAAGACGAAGAAGAAGAAGAAAACGAAGACGAAGACAACGAAGAAGAAGAAGAAGATGAAGACGAAAACGAAGAAGAAGAAGAAGATGAAGACGAAGACGAAGAAAACGAAGAAGAAAACGAAGACGACGACGAAGAAGAAGAAGAAGATGAAGACGAAGACGACGACGACGACGAAGAAGAGGAGATGACGAAGGAGAAGAAGAGATGACATCATCGTCGTCGTCGTCGTCAGCATCACGTGGCCTTTCTTCTTTGGAACCGTTCGTCCAGCAAACGGCTATTTCGGACAGCTTCAACACAACAACAGGCACGAAGAAGAACTATTCTTGGATGCTATGGAAGGATACACTGAACCAACATCTTCCTCATCGTTCTCACATCCTCGAAATGGAATGGCCGCCATCATCTTCATCATCATCTCACGTCTGGATGAACTCATCAATAAATAAGAAAGGAAGAAGAGTCGAGTAGTTAAAATCTTCAAGAGTTTCATCATCATCATCAACTTGTTTTCTGACGTTTCTTCGGGAGGAGTATATCTGCAAAAACTTTTTCCGCCGTTTCCGAACTCCTGTACAGTCTGATCCATTCCTCTTTGTCTCTCCTAAAATTGTTCAGATGAATTTTCCAACCGAAATTTTTCCCGTAGACGTTTCCGTTCAACTCGCTCTGGCGACTCAACAATTCTTCGGCCAAAATAGTTTTCTGATTCAGGCTTGTGTTGGACCAAATGGCATCCAGAGAACGTGAACCGTACTTTGACGTGGCCAATTCCAAGTAGCGACCCTTAAAAGACAAAAAGTGCAGACAGAGACATCTTTAGTAACGATTCAATACAGCAAAAAAAATGATAAGAAGATAACGTGGGGAAGAATAAGGAGGGATGATGTAAGAGAGAAAGGGGGGGAGAGAGGGATGATGGGAAAAGTAGCAAGACGAGTGATCTTACCTGTAATTTTCTAAATAGTTTATCCTTGTTCTTTTCTCCGACGTAAGGGCTACCAATGAAAGCATCCGTCACGTGACACCCTTTGGAATCGCACAACAATTTCAACAAAATTGAGTCATCCATTTCCAACAGACCGTTGACGAGGTTGATGGGTTTTTTAAAATTAAGCATTTCCTGTACTGCGAGACATCCGTGAAGTGTGAACGTGAACGTTTCCATGTTGAAATTTTCCCACGGGGTCATCGTCGACACGGACAAAATCAAATCTTTGACGTCTTTCACGTGAAACGTTCTCGACAGCATCTACGACAGGGAAAAAGAAAAAATATTAGTGGATTTTTTTTTTTTTTTTTTTTCGACTTATTCAACCATTTCTTCTGCTCTGAACGATGACATCAGATGACATTTTAAATCATTTCTTTTGCAATGTGCAAAGATAATTGTCTGACTTATATGTCTTCATCATTTTATCATCGTTTAAAATAAAAGAAAAAAGAAAAGAAAATAATAAAAAACTCACCGTCATGCATCCCCCTTGGCAAATCTCCAAACGTCTGCAAGCTTTAACGATGGAAAGGACAACTCCAGTGTTTCCCTCACTCAGTACGTTTTCCATTTCCGGTTCGATTTTGGCAAATATTTTCCCAAAAGTTTTCTTGCTCTCGCAATTCCCAATTAATTTCTGCACAAGGAAATTACCACATTTCGACTTGGACAAATCCACAAGTTTGTCTTTGACCACCATTTTGTAAATGGTTTTAACGGTTCCTTTGTCTCCAATTGAAGCGATGACTTCCAAAAGTCTCGAGAAGGGTTCGTTGCACTCATTTAGTAAATCCACTTGATTTTTTTCATAATTTTTCAAAATTTGTTGTATCATTTCTCTTCTCTCCAGGCTGTCGACTCCTAGTGCCACTAGCAAACTTTGCAGTAGTCCAGAATTTGTTGACTGATAGCAAAAGTCATCAAATTGTGGGTGTGTCATGATTTTCTTTGCAAACTTTTTCAATAGTTCTGTAAAACACTGTGGAACTCTCATCAAAGTTTTCTTATTTCTTTCTTCCGGTTTGATTTCTCCTTTGATGGGATTTCCGCTCAATACGTTGAATACGGTTCTTGCTATCGCGTTGCTATATGTGTCCCATATGAAATCGTACAAATTGTTGAATAAAAATTGTGATATCTTCAATATGTACTCATAAAATCTTATCGAAAGTTTTTTTTCATCTTCATTTTCTTGTTTAACACCATCATCATCATCATCTTCATTACTATTTCCTTTACATTTTGTATATTTCTGATATGAAACGACGATCGTTTGCTGTAACACGTGACTCCCAAACGGATCGTTGAATATGGGCCTTAAATTACTACTGAATTTCTCAATGAATCCAGCAAATTCTTCATCGTTCGAATAGGGTAGTAAATTTTCAATAGCTCTCGATATTATTTGATTGCAACAATATTCTCCTTCTTTTCCTTCGATTTCTTGAAAAACGTTCGATGCCAAAATGGCTGAAAATTGAAAATTGAAAAATGATTCAACGGCCACGTGCGTGCAAGTATTGAGCGTGTAAGGATTTGTATGTAACCTGGTGAGGTTAAAGACGAAAATTTTTATCGAAATTTTATCCCTCGTTGTCGTAAAAAAAAAAAAAAAACGACAAATTACTTTTTAAAATAACTTTTGTGAGTATCATTACACTCTCAATATTTGAATTTAATACAAATAACAACCAATTTAAAAAAATTTTTCTGTTAAATTTAAAACAATGACTTACTCATTTCGCTTTCATCTTCCTTTTTAGAATTCATCACTTTGACAATGTTTATGAAATAATCGTACATGTCTTGACTCAACTGGGTTCCTCTTCCAAAACTTCCCTGCTTGGCAAAACGTTTTTGCCTTTGCAAAAATGAACGCTTCTTTTTTTTCCTCCCGAATCCCTCATCATCATGGACGACTGAATCATCCACATGCATTGTCGTATAAAACTCTCGCGACGTCGAATCGTACGATGCGCAGAAACTCGAACGAGAGCGACATCTGTAGTGGAAAAAAAGTTTTTAAAACACACTAGCGACATCTATCCGCTAAAATTATAATTATTTACCGTCGGCCATTTTGAAAATAACAAAAAAAAAAATTCACTTCGAATGAACAACACCGACTTTTTTTTTTTTTTTTTTTTTTTTTTTTTACATTCATACCAATCATCATACCAATCATCATACCAATCACCTAATAATAATAATAATAATTAAATGATTTCCTATAAAGAAGAGATAATACGAAAAAAAAAAAAAAAAATGCAATCAACAATTTTTATTTATTTATAAAATAATCCTCGACCGAAGAATATCTTTAGGGCAAAAAAATTTTTTTTTACATATAAAACTTTAATTAATTATAAAAATTTTATTTTAATTCCGTTTTTTTCTCCTCGCATCGAAGAATTCCCCCCACCCCCCGCTTGATCTATGCAACTTTTTTCAGGTGTTTCAGGTAACACGAATATACAATAATAATAATGATAATTTTTTTAAATCGTGATAAATAATAATTACTTACTTATTCACTTACTCACATTCTTATAATTTTTTATTTTATTTAAGAGAAAGAAAGAGAGAAAACGAATCATTACAATTTTCGACTACACGAGAGAGACAAAAAACAATGGCGGTAGCAATAATAATAATAATAATAATAACGGCTATAACAATAACAAAACGAATTTGAAAAAAACAAAAACAATGTGGCACGTACCGGAAACCACCACCACCACCACCACCATCATCATCATCATTGTTATTATTTATTAAAAACAAATTTTTCTCACATTATTTATTTATTTATTTATTAATTTTTACGAAAACTAGCTACTAGACTAAATAACGTCGTCGACATGTTTGTTTTTCTTTTCTGTGTTCCCCTTTTCCCCCCTCAATTCGTTTTCGCGTCATACGTTTTAATTCTTTTTCATCGTCCGTAAATTAATTTTTTTTCAATTCGACATATTAATAATAATAGTAATAATAATAATAACAACAATAACAACTTTTTATTTTTATTTTACCAAATTTACCCGAAAAAATTAATTGATGAAAAGAATAAAAGATGGAAGATAGGAGAGAGAGAGAGGAGAGAGAAGAGAGAAGAGAGAGAAAGAGAAAAGGGCAAACACGTTGAATTTTTTTCATTCGACCAATCGCGTGAGTTCAATGGCGGATCGAATCAAGATGGAAGCTTCTCGTTAGCTTCAATTTCATATAAACGCGACATTTTTTGTTTTTTTTTTTTTTATTTTTTATTTATTTTCGACCGTTAACAATTCGTTTGTGTTTTTTTTTATGTTTTTCGGAAGTTTAAATTTAACGTTTATTATCGAATGTTTCAAAGTTGAAAACGACGGTTAAATATTTTTTTTTTTTCGGTTGTTATTATTATCGTATATATTGCATTATTCTCTTGCACGCACACGCACGTTTGTTGCACAAGGTCGAAAATCCGATGTTTTTTACATAACAAAACCCATACTTAGCTTTCGCGGAGTGTGTTTTTTTTTCAAAATGGCGTCGACCTTAAACGCACAGTTAATAATTAAAACGAAAACAACAAAAATTTTATTTTAGGCATTATTATTTAAAAAAAAAAAAATTTATTATTGTTGTTAACATTTTTATTTTTTTCTCCTTGTTGTTGTTATTATTATTATTATTATTATCATCTGTTTGTTCGTTTGTTTGTTCGAATCGAGTTTTAATATTATTATTATTATTAAAGGGAGGAAAAAAAATTAATTAATTAATTAATTTCTAATAATAAAACTTACGAGATGAAAAGTTTTTCCTTTTTTTTTTTTCTTCTTCTTTTTCTTCTTATTTTTTTCTCTGTAATGTTGGTCATTCTCAAACTCGTCGCATCGCAAACTGTGTAAAAAAAAAAAAAAAGAAAAAAAATGAAATTAATTTTTGAATTCATTCGTTTTTACCATTCATTCATTCATTCATTCAATCAATCATTCAATGGAATTTAATGTGAGATTTTCGTGCGTTTCTTTTTTTTATTACACCCCCCTTCCCCTCATTAACACGCAAATTTTCGCGTGTTTCACGCAACAACGGAAAAATATTATTATTATTATAACACTTGTGAAGGGTTTCCAGCGCCGGGTAATTCCAGGTTTTTAAAGGATTTCTCTCTCTCTCTCTCTCTCGTCCAGAGAATTTTTTTCGTTATTCCCTCTTTTCCACCTTTTCCAAAATCCTATCCTATCCAAACCTAAACCGACCTTTAACGATTTCCATACTTCTCCAGTTCTCTTCCAGTCCAAATCCAAAATTTATATTTGTCAGCCATTTTCCCTTCATCTTTTACTCCCTTTCCCCCGAAGCGAACGAACGCTTTAAATTAATTCAATTTTCTCCTCTTATCTTTCTAATCCTTTCTTCTTATCATCACGATTCCACCTTGTTAATAAAAATTCATTTCTGTCACCAGGTGGTGTCACGCGCGCGCCCCCGCGTCTCCACCATTTTCTCGTTGAATCCGCAAAATTAATAATAATAATAATAATAAAAACCAAAACAAAAAAAAATTTTTTTAATTTTCTCTCTCTGTCTCTCTCAATGTTATATTTTAAAATAAATGCATTTTTTTTTTCTTTTTTTTTGTTAACGGCTCACGAATTTTGATTAATAATAATGATGATGATAATAATAATAATAATAATAATTGAGGGCAAACTCACAAGGCCGCATTAACATACTGTGTCTGCCTGTCTGTAACAGACGTCAACGAAAAACATTTTTTTTCTTTTTTTTTGTTTTTTTAATTCTAATGATAAAATGCGTTGTTTTAACGGTTTGGCTCTCATCCTAATGTTATTAAAAAAAAGGATAATAATAATAATGATGATGATAATGATAATAAATATAAAAAAAAAAATATATAATGGCAATATTGTTGTTTTTGTTGCATGCTAAAAATAATTTTTTTTTAAAATATAAATTATTTCGCTTGGTTGCTTATCACACATTAATTTTATAAAAAAAAGTTAACAAGATAATAATTATAAATAAATAAAAATAAATAAATAAATAAATACATAAATATAATAACATAAATTAAGTCGTAATTTACTGCTTATTTATTTACTTAGAAAGAGAAAGAGAAAGGGAAAGAGAAAGAGAGAGAGAAAGAGGAAAGTCAAAAAGAAAACTATACCAAACTGAAAAAAACCGTTTTCCTCGACTTGACACACGTCGTCCTTTTTTCCTTTTCTTTTCTTTTCTTTTCTGCTTCCCCGACATTTTTTCTACCAAGTCCCGTAAGTTAAATTTTACCTTCGAGTTAAGTTTTTAACATTGTTTTTAAATCTCTCCTCCTCTCTCTCTCTCTTTTTGTTTTATTTGACGTTTTATTTAACCTCACAGCACATCTTCCGCCTTCCTTTATACCCCCCTTCCCCCTCCTTTAGGGATCCATCTTTGTTTTCATCCCCCGAAAAATAAATTTTAAACTAATCGGTTAAGAGTTATTTAATTTCTTCTTCTTCTTCTTAAATGAAATTTTCAAAATTTAAATTTTGTCCGTTAAAGCATAATAATAATAATAATAATAATAATTTTCCCGTGGTAAAAAAGAAAAGGAATTTCGTTTTCCCTGCCCCCCACGAAACGATTTTTTCGTGGGTTTAAAATAGTATATATTTACGATCGCGCAAGTCAAGAGGAAACAATTTTCTCTCTCCCTCCCCACAAAAAAAAATATGGCGTCGTCGTTTAAACGTGTATTAGCGTCAGCAGGAATTAAATACGGGATGGTAGGGGAAGGGGGAAAAGGTGAAAATTTCTGTCGTAAAAACTTTTAAAATCGTTCGGGCGTAAATTTGAAAACGTCAGAAACCGTGCGTGAGTGTGTGTTTAATAATTTTTCGAAGCATAAATTTTTAGGTATAATTTAAGTGTTTCGTACCTCCCACAAAAATAAAAAATCGGTGGATATTCTATTCTGCTGGTAAAACGGAAAGGAGGAGGAGGAGGAGGAAGGAAAAGGGAGGAAACGAACGAACGTAATAACAACAATTACAACAACAATAAAATTATCCGGTTGTTGACTATGCAAACAAACGCATTTGATTGTCGAACTTGATTGTTAGACGAAAACGGCGGCGGCTACGATGATGATGATGATGATGAAGACGATGATGATGATGATGATGATGATGATGTTTTCCACGTTCGAATAATTAACTCGAATACGTAACGAATATAAAAATTTAATTAAGATTAATTAAGCGCAACAGACGAAAATTTCACTTGTCCGGGGGGTGTAACGACCTTTGATTCCACACCCATACAATCTTCCTCCTTCTCCCACACTCCCCACCCCCCAAAAAAGAAAAAGAAAACTTTTCCTTTTAATTTTCCTTTCATTTCTTTTTCTTTAATTAACCTTTCATTCAAATTAAAAAAAAAAAAAAATTTTTTTTTTCCTCAGTAATTTCTTTTCTCTTTTTCAAAAAAAAAAAAGAAAAATATTTTTTTTCTCTCTCTCTCTCTCTCTTTCTTTTGCACTTTTAAGAACTCCTTTGGCTAACGGGTAGAGGTCAAAAGGTTAAAATTCTCCCGTTCGCTATATTACAACGGACGAATGAATGAATGAATGAATTTATTACCTTTGATTTCTACTTTTCATTTACTACAAACATAAATTTTCTCTCTCTCTCTCCCTATCTCTCTATCTCTCTTTTTCTCACACACAATATCCTTGGATTTAGAAACAACAATTTTTCCTTCATAAACAATTTTAATTGTTTAAACAAAACGAAAAAAAAAAGTAATAAATAAAATTACTAACGACGACGATTTTTTCTATCGATTCTCGAATCCTTTTTTCTTTTTTTTTTTTAAATGAAAATTTATTTGAATTAATTTCCCTTTTGGTAAAAAAAAAAAAAAATTATTATTATTATCATTAT